TCACAGCGTGGGCGGGTGGGCGGGCTCGAACTCTAAATAATCAAATTTGAATGTCAATTTTCAATTCCGCGAACCGCCTCGGTCCTCTGCAAACCCTCTAGGGTTTCCTCTACTGTCTTTGTTTTTTTTTTCTCGAATCAAGATCAGGATTTGCTTCTCACATATTTTATATTTATATAGATAGATAGATTGATTGATAGATAGAAGATTTTATTTTATTTTATTTTATATATATATTTATATCGATTGGTTTGGATCTGATGGTGATGGAGTTCGGGCGCAAGAGGGGGAACCCAAACAGTGGCTTCATAGGCAATGAAGGCAACAAGAAATCAAAGCAAGGTTTGAACTGTTTCTTTCTACTCTCTTCTCTTCTATTCTGTTTTGTTCTACTGTATGATTGTTTGGGTTCTGTATACTCTCTTTTTGCATCACCCAACTTTCTCTATATTTGTGTTTCTTTTTCCTATTATTATTATTGTTGTTGTTGTTGTTGTTATAATAAAGAGAGAATTACAATTTAATGGATTTTTGAAAAAAAAAAAATACACAGGCATGAAAAAGTTTAGAAATTTAATTATTATTAATATTTATAAAGTTTACCACTGATGAGTAATTTATTTTCTAAATTTACATTGACTTGTATTTTTCCTAGAATAAAAAACCATTAGGTTACCAACTTACCATGTAGGCTTTTCCATAGTTTTTTTTTTTTTTAAAGAAAGATGAAAATTTATTTGTTTTGGTGTATACTAGCCCCTAGGCCATCTCCAGTTCTTACTCAAGTTTGATATGAAGCACTCTAACCATGCACGAACTCAGAATAAATTTGAGTAAAAACTGAAGTAATGGCAGAGTTGTAAATTTGAATGATACAAAATGGTCTTCAAAAGTTGGAGAAAGCATTTGAGTCTCCCTTGGTTTGGTTATTAAAAAAAAAAAAAAGAAGGTTAAGGTTAAAACTCAATTTGAAGAAGTTTGAATCAAGGAGTGGATAGGTTTTTGAGGGATTTTTACCCAAATTTAAATAAAGGCTTGAGATGGATTGGAGATGCCCTTTTTGGTTTCCCTTTCGAATAGCAGCAAGATATGACGTTTGCCATTTTTTGCTTACCATTTTTTAATACACATGACATTTACCGCATGAATACATCTAGGAGTTGAAGTAAATGGGTGAGTAAATGCGGTGTTGTTGTTTTTAATTACATGGTCTTTAACCATTGTGGTTAGCCCTGACCCAGAACCATGTACCTCTCTAGGAGGTCACATCATCACCATGGTTGTTAAAATTGCGATCCGGATCGTAGGATCTACGATCCTACTTTGCCAAAACGATCCAGATCGTTGTAGGATCGATGTTATAACAGGATCACAAGTAGGATCGCATGGGATCGTATAGGATCGTAGGTAGGATCGCAAGTAGGATCGTAGTTTTTATGATTTTTCACCTTATTTTTTATATGTATCATTTTAATTTTAATTTTTATCTTTTTTTTTTAATAGAAAGTAGGATCTTACGATTCTCGATCCGATCCACCAGACCCTCTTACCGATCCTACTTAGGATCCCGATTTTAACAAACTCGATCATCACAGATTTGAATCACCTCTGTTATATGTACGTAGGTTGTGATGTCTTGCCTTTTTCAGATTTTTGTTTTTGTTTGTTATTAAAAAAAAAAAGGATAAAAGCAATAAGGAAAATAAATCTTATTGATGGGAGGTTTAACTTTACAAATGGAGGGAAATCTATTCTTTAAAAGCAAACAAGGAATAATCACTATGTTGGGTTTGGGGTAATCTAACAGCAGGGCAGGGTCCTCAACGCACTTATGGTGTTTTTGTCTTTCAAGGTAGTTAAAGAATGTAGTGGGGTCCAGAATTGGTTTGGGCTATAGGTATTGGTTAAGGTTAGGGGTATTCATTATGTTTTTTTCAATATATTTTTTTTTGGGGTTGGAAAACACTAAATTGATCATGTCGTGCTCTCGAAAACATAGTTGTTTGATTTGTTTGTCAATTGGATAATCTTTACTTGTAGTTAATTTGCTTAATTTTTTTGCTGGATTTAATTAGTTAATTGCCAAATTGGGATAGGTGAATCTTGAACTCATTATTTTACTTCTAAAATTCCCAACTGTTAATTGTATGAATTCTGAATGTTCTAGGAAGTTTTTTGCTGAAAGAACTCATTGAAATTTTAACTGAAAGAAAGCAATTAATTTTCTGTAACAGAAATGGAGTCTTTTGCAAGTACTGGTATAGGGCGCAAATCAAAGCCATGCATGAAGTTTTTCAGGTTCTAATCTTAACCTATGGCAATATAAGCATTTTGAAGTAAGAATTTTCCCCTTAAATTCTTTACAATAATTTAGCTAGCATGACCACAGAGAGAATTGATGAATTTGGGGCTAAATATGTGGTCATGGTTATTCTTTTCAGCTTATTATGCTAAAAAGGTTATTGAACAGTTATAATGGATTTCAATTGTGAGTCTGTGATGCAACTGGATATAAGAAATTGCAAATTATAATTAATTCGAAAGCACTTTTCCTGGGGTGTAAATAATGTGATTTTACATTTTAGTATTGTGCAATTTGATCTTGTGTTTCAAACAACCATTTGATGTATAAAGGTTTTCAGAATATATTGCTTATGCAGATATTTGACATAATACCTGTTTTTTTTTTTTTTCAAGTTATTTTTCTGGGATTTATTTTATGGCAAGAAAGTCCATTCTATTTTAATACCAATTAGCCATGATGGGTTAGTGGCCATTGGAATACTTGGCCTTTTCTAGATATTGAGATGTGGGTGCAAATATTATAAATATTCTGGTAGGCTCTTGATCCATCATGATGATACATAGTGGTACTCAGTAAGCTCTTCTTATAAAATGGTGTGCTCTTTTCCCCTCATGATGATAATAATGCTGATAGTACACAATTAGCTTTTATTTATAAGGTGCTGGCAATATATGGATTACATGAAACTGAAAGGCATTAGAGGCACACAAATGTTTTTTTCAACAATTCCATTTTTAATTTGTATTGTGTTATTATTTCAACTATTCAATATTTAGTTGTTCTTCTACTTAATAAAAAAAATAATAGTAATATTTAGCTGTTCTTTCACAAAATTATTGGGGTTTTGATATTTAGTGCCCATTTGGCAACTTGGCTTTTTTAGTATTTTTTTTGACTTTTTTATGAGGTGAAAACAGTTAGCGTGTTTGGAATGATTTTTTAGTTGAATAGATAGTTGTGAGTAAAAAAAATGATTGATCGATATGTTTGATGTGACATTTTGATTTTTTTTGTGGTTTTTTGACTTTTTTAGCCAAAAAGCTATGAGCCGAACGAGCTCTTAGTATTTATGGTTCCAACTCTTAGGATCACTGTCACCAAAATAACTTTCTATCATCCATATTTCATGGATGTGCACATTCTTGACATGAGTAAACATGTCCTGTTGGATCTGAACATAGTATTTTCCATTACATATGCCTTTTATGTATTACTTGATATTTAAAAAAGACTAATCTCAATATGTGATTCTTAAAAATTTAATTCAAGCATTCTATAGTGCTTATCTATTTGCTAATTGTATTTTTTCCCCCTTTTCTCCCTAGATAAGATATCTCTTGATCAGTAACTTCTTTTTCCCTATTATAGTTTGGTTTTGGGTTTCTCAGTACAGTTAACATGTTCTTGTGTTGTGTTGTATATGGTTTATGCATATACTATACATATATATATGTGATAAGGTGAGAAATAATAGAACTAATTCGTAAATTGTGTAAACTTGATATTATGTACGTGTACCTTTTGAAAGTATCAATTAAATTCTTACTAAACATTCCTTGTTAAGATTAATTTAACAGTGAATGCCTGTGTTAATGAACACTTCAAAATGTGTAAGATAACTATGTTGGATATGACATAAAAACTATAAAATGGGGTTATTATAATTGTGATTCGCGATTCAATTTATACAATTCGATACGAATTTCAAGTAAAATAATTTAAATTGTTTTGTTGAATTGAAAATTGAGTGAATCTTGTGATTGTTTATTTCCATAATGCATGAAACGATCTTGTTTTTGCCTTTATATAAAAAAATAATAAAGAATTCAATTAATTATAACTTTGCACCCTTGAATTATCTATAACTATTTTAATGAAATAAACATGATTCAATATTATTAGACCCAATGGTTCCACAACTTTTCTTTCTTTTTTTTTTTTAATTTTTTTTTTTAACAATAAGCATAAATTACCTTTTAAAGTGTTTTACCTTTTAAAATAAAGGATTTCACTTAATTCCTTCTTATTATACTCTATATAAAGTTCCTACGTCCATTTTTAAATATCAAGAGAGATTATATTATAGTTTTGAATAATTTTATAGTTGTTGGGATTTGGACCCACATCTCTTGTTACAAAGGAAATGCCTTCCTAATTAGATGGTGTAACTATGTCCTTATATAAAGGTATTTTATACCATGCTAAAATCAATTTATTTAATTTTTTTTCGTATATACAATTGTTTAACGTCATTTTTTTAAGAGTTTGTACTGAATCTTAATGGTTTTTGATTCAATATATTCTATTCACGATTCACAAAGTTAGTAGGGTTTCTTTTCACAGTACCATTCTTGATTTGACAACTATGGTTGCAATTTCGACAGTCCATATCTGCCTATGTTTTTATAACAATAGGACATAAGTGAAGTAAGTTGGATCTATCAACAACTTTGCTACACTCCTATCTTAATAGTGTTGCCTCATCCTGTTATGTGACTTGTGAAGTTGTGACTACAATTTTAGTAAATTGATATATATATATATATATATATCATTGAGGTTTTAGTAGGCTCTATCTTGGTTATGTAATTATCTTTACATTAACTCAATAAGTTAATTCTTGCTTTATTGGTTTATAAAATAGTAACTTGGTTTCAAGTAACATGACTATAAAAATCATTTTTCAAAAATTTGTTGTATTTCTTTCCTTTCAACAAGCATTTTAGTGTTTTTATGACTATGCTGATTAATTTTTATAATTTATAATAATTGTATTATTTTGCTTTATATATAAATATATCAACAAATAAAATTTTTGGTCATTTTCATTCCTATTTTTCTATCTAATGGGTTTGCCCCGTCATCTGTGCAGCACTTCTGGATGCTCATTTGGTGATGGATGTCACTTCTTGCATTATGTTCCTGGTGGCTTCAGTGCAGTTGCTCAGATGACAAACCTAGGTGGGAATCCTATTCCTCCGGTGAGAAATGGCATGGCCCCACCACCACCCTTTTCCGATGGTCCTGCTCCTACTGCAAAGACTAAGCTTTGCAACAAATTCAACACAGCTGAAGGATGCAAGTTTGGTGACAAATGCCGTTTTGCTCATGGTGAGTGGGAGCTTGGCAAGCCCAATATCCCAACCTATGAAGATCCACGAAGCATGGGATCGATGGGTACTAGGTTAACTGGACGGGTTGAACCACACCAACCTAACCTAGCTGCTGCGGCCAACTTTGGTGCATCAGCTACAGCCAAGATCAGTATAGATGCATCCCTGGGTGGTGCAATCATTGGGAAGGGTGGGGTGAACTCAAAGCAGATTTGTCGTCTGACTGGTGTTAAGCTTTCAATAAAGGAGCATGACTCAGATCCCAATCAAAAGAATATCGAGCTTGAAGGAACCTTTGATCAGATCAAACAGGCCAGTGCCATGGTACGTGATCTTATCATGAATGTCGGTGCAGTCAATCGTCCTACCAAGCCAACTCATGCTGCTGCTCCGGCAAGCAATAATTACAAGACAAAGATGTGTGAAAGTTTTGCAAAAGGCTCCTGCACTTTTGGTGAAAGATGCCATTTTGCTCATGGAGCTGGCGAGCTGCGCAAGCCGGTTGCTTAACTATTTTATTTGTGCTAAATCTTTCAATAGTTATGGGAATATTATCATTTTGTTGTGGGATTCATCTTCTTTCAGAAGGAAACTAATGATTAATGTTGTAGTGTTCCTTGGGTATTTGATATTGAGCTCGTTTTCTGACAGCAATTGCAGCTCCTTTTTTTGTTTTTGTTTCTTGTGTGTATGCTGCATGTGCTGTATTTCTTATAATGCTTTTGTCAAAAGTTATAAGCTTTGACTTGTCAAGTGTGCTGAAACCAGGTTTAACCCAATCTGCTCCTATACAAACATATACGAGTGTGATTTATAAATTTGAAATGTTGTTAGTAGTTTATTTTGTTGGTGGGTGTACACGTTGGAGATCAATTTACGTGACTTTGTTGAGGAACAAGTATTTCGAGAGCCTAGTGGCAGCATTGTCTATTTGCAAACTAATTGCCGGGATTGTGTCACTTGCACCTTGAATTCATTAGACTTGCACCTTACATTTATTTCACTTGTAATTTCTAAAATTTGCCGCAGCTGGGGAGAGGTGCGGGGTGGTGATGGGAGGGGTAGGAGGCTTTTGGGTGCTCTTGGTAGCTACAGTTTGGATCGCCTATGGTGTTGGGTTGGATGGGGATGGATTGAGGGTCATGGAGGTGAGGTGGGTGGGGTTGTGGCAGAGGTGGGTGGAGTGTTGAAGGGAGGGTCAGCCACATAAGGTTGGGAAGTGGTGGGGCTAAGGTGTGGGGTATTTTCATCATTATTCTATGAATTTGTAATTCTTTTTCAACTTTTTCATTACAAGTAATTTTGAGAAGATTCACATTGATTTGTAATTTTTAGCCTCATTCACCACTTAAAAATAGTTTGCCTCAAGGGGGAAAAAAAAAAAATTATATTTATAAGAGTAATGTTAGAGATTTACACATTTATACTAACAAATTCATCTACGATGATGCAGCATGAGAGTTGGGTCCAATATCATAGTGTGTAACAAATTAAAAATTGACACATATCCTACCACATCATTATGGACAGAATTGTAGATATTTTTTAACAACTCTCAAACATTTTCCCATGTGGAAATATCTAATTCAATGTTATTGTTTTAATTCTCAAACTATCTTAGAGTTAATCATAACTTTAATGTTCATATTCATTTCATGTACTATTACTGCATTGGTAATAGACATGAGTGGTGAGACATTTTAAAACAATAATGATAAATATTTTATAATATACAAATGTAGTCATTAAGATATTTTTATTTTTATTTTTTATTTTTTTGTTACATCACCATCACCTAGTAAATCAAAATGCTATACAAATAATAATAATAATTGAAAAAAAAAAAAAAAAAAGGCTAGCAGAAAATTTTCATTCCATTAGTGAGCTGAGCTGGTCTGTGTGGCCAACCCACATGATAATCAAGAAAGTAGAAGCTCACAAACTCTGTCACATACACACCAGAAAAATAAAGACGGCGATTAATTCCGCCAGTCTTACATTGTCCTTAGAGATCATGCTGCAGTATTCTCTCATGAAAGTACCCAAAAATGACAAAAGGGTGGCATATGAAGCATGGAAATTCCAGAAAACACAAACATTGGACAAAATCTAGGGAAATCGTGTAATGCTTCTCCCAAACTAAATCTTGCCCTCCCATATGTCGACAAAATACAATCCAATCTCAATAGAATCGTAGCACAAGTTAGCAGGATATAAGATATTAAGTTCAGTAAATATTTTTTTATTGGTGAAAGATCTACTTTTTGTGAAATAATTTAATGAGAAATCCTTTTATTGATTTTGAAAGACATTCTGTTTCTAATTTTACCCTTTAATTTATCTATTGACTTTTTTAAACCTATTTGCTCAAATTTATATTTATCTGTTCAAATTATTTTTTATCTATTCAAATTTATATTTATTTGTTGAATTTTTTTCCTTTGTTGGTTCAAAATCTGAGTTTCTCTATCTATTTAAACTCTCAGTTTCTCTTTTTATCTGTCCGAAATCTATCTATGGATTTCTCTGTATCTGTTTAAAATCTGTGAATTTCTTTCCCTGTGCGTAAAAAATACAAAGGTTTGATCTATCTATTTAAAATTTCACAAACTTTTTTGTCTGTTGGAATTATCCACTTCTCTATCTGTTTAAAAAAATACAAAGATCTGATCTATCTGTTTAAAATTTCACAAACTTGTATGTTGGAATTATCCACTGTAACAACACACCAACAAAAAACACACACACACAGATAGACACACACATAACCAGATCTGCAGCTTCCATGCCCAAAAATGGCCAGTCTCTGTTCAGCAGCCTTGGATGTGAGTCATCTCTGTTACATCTCAAATTCTGAAAAAAAAAACCTTTAATCAGTATGCTTTCCTGCACAAAAAAATTAAAATAGAAATCAATTCAATTCATTTCAGACAAAAAATAAATAAATCCAATTCAATTATTTCCAGCACCAAAGATACATATATAAATATATATATATATATATTTTTTTTTTCAAATAGAAACCCAAAAATGGCCAGTCTCTGTTCAGCAGCCTTGGATGTGAGTCATCTCTGTTACATCTCAAATTCTGAAAAAAAAACCCCCTCTTTAATCAGTATGCTTTCCTGCACAAAAAAATAAAAATACAAATCAATTCAATTCAATTCATTTCAGACAAAAAATAAATAAATCCAATTCAATTATTTCCAGCACCAAAGATACATATATAAAACTATATATATTCAAATAGAAACTAGATTCAACAGATTTCCAAATCTCATATCCACAAAACTTATATATATATATATATATAGATATACATAAACAAATATTAAAAACAACAAAGTAGACAAATGATAAATGACAAAAAAAATTAAAAACAAATATCATCTTTTTGGTAGTTTTTAAAAGTGCAGAGGCCATCAGAAGCAAATATTAAAAACATTAACTTGAAATGTTGAACTAGTGACAAATACTGAATCTCATGATCTATCTCATCCTTGCAATAAGAGACAAGAAATGCCACAAAGTTTCAAAAGGATAGCAAGTAAAAAAGCATTAGAGATTCTTCCCTAAAATATCACTCCAAGAGATTAAAAAAATTACCTGTGCATGATTGGGACTGATGCCTTCTCTTTCCTCTTTCTTTATCTCGTTCATTTCTTTTGATTACCTTGAGCTGAGAAAGAAGTTTGGAACAACTATCTACATATAGAGAGAAATACATGTATATGCATATCTATGCATAATATAACCAGAAACACCATGATCTGGACCTGGATCTTGCGACTGGCGGAGGAGGGTGTTGGCAGTGCCAGATCTGGTCTCCGGTGACTGGAATTGGAGAGAGAGAGAGAGATTGAGCGTGATCTTAACCAGATCTTGACTTTCCGGCCAGCTCTCGACGTCGGGCATGATCCTGCCATGGAGGAGGGCGAGAGTGGATGAGGAGAGAGACGGGGAAGGTGGGGGAGGGGGGGTTGAATGGGAGGTGACAGGATGATAGTGGTGGTGTTGGAGAGAGAGAGAGAGAGAAGATGGTGGTGATCTATATGTTTTGAACCATATGACATATATATTGATCGGTAGTTTGATCATTTTGTGCTAGCTTATCCTTATACACGAAATATTTTACAGTGCAGGCCTTTAACCAAAGAAAATTCAAATTTGGATTTATGGATAGAGTGCCCTTATTTAAAAGGATACATGAAAAACCCAAATTTCAGCTGCAAAGAAGAATTATAGAAGATATGGTTGCAAGGGGAAGATTCCAGAACAAGATCTGAATGCCACAATATGAGTTAGGAAAAAAAAAAAAATTCTATTGCTACAAGCAAGTAGGTTCACTGAATGTTCATACTGATGACTTAACAAAAAAAATTATTACCTTTAGACAGTACCTATGAAGAAACAGAAAGATGGAAGGCATTGCATCTTGACACAGCTATTTTTGTAAAGCATCAAAATCAAAGATAGGTGCAAGGTAATGCATTTTGAAATAATGCTGGAACAGTAGTTATATATCGAAGTGCAGGCTCAGAACAGTATTAGTGGGTGTCTACAGCACTCAGTGGTCCATTTCACTGGGGGAAAAAATTGGAGTATGCCACATGATATGGGTTCTTATTCTAAAATTCAGGCTAAGAAGAAGATAAGAGGACACAGGAAGATTACACAATGATATATCTTCTTTTAACCTAGTCAATATAGTAAAAACTAAAAAGTAATAACTAAGCAAAGTTGAATGCCACATTCAGGGTATTTGTGTTCTCCTATTCCATCAGTTCTTCCTACCATGAGTGTGTCTAGACTCAGATTACTTTCTTTTTCATTTCACATAAATGAATGGACTTTGGATACAGAGAAAGGTAAGGTGGAATCAGAGAAGCATGATAAAAAAGATCTTTACTAGAGGAGTGGTTTTCGCTCCTCGTAAGCCAAACCCCATATTCAACTAAGAGCAGAAACAAGTAGAGTCTACTGACTGTAAAAAGATAAATAAATCCATATTGCATCTTAAAAAGGAATAAAAGATGGTGAAGATGATATGGCAACTAGTCATTGCAAAGCGATTTCACACACACCAAGAATGAAAACTGAAATTACTACATAAAGTAAAACAATTACACTCCAAAACCTTTCACATATTTATTGTTTTGGATAAATAAATCATAGTCCAAAACCCATTGATTTTGTCATCAGAGAAAAGAAAACCAATGACACACCACAAGGAAAGCAAGTAATAAAATAAAGGAAGAAGTCTGTGTACTTGCACAACGTATTCAAACATATAAAGCTTGCAATAGACTTGACAACACTTACCAATAAGACGATCTGCTCTATGCCTTACAGATGTGCCTAGCCATACAATCAGCAGCCAACATTCAACAGAGAACGGATAAAACTGACCAAGGTCAATAATAATGCTTTGCAGAATGATTATAAATTAACTTTAATTTGCAGATGGCAACTTTCATGTTTTAGTGAACAAGCTGACTTAAACAAATGAAATCTTAAATATTTAGCAATACAACTAGATTGCAGAAAGAACGACATTAACCCAATCTTCTCCTCCTAGATTCACGAGAAATTCCATTGTCCACATCTAAAACTCTGGAAAGGCGAATCCTTCTCCTCGAAGACGACGAAGAAGGACGGGGCCCAGTTAAATTGATTTCAGTAGCTGTATCATGTCTTAGATTTTCCAGGTGTACATCAGAAGTAGAAACATGAATTCTTTCAGAAGATGAAGCAGTAAGTGTTGCAGTATTGATTTCAGCACTAGAATCTACAGTCTGGTGTTCTGGTTGTACTACAGAAGCACTGCCAGTAAAAGTATCCCCTCCACCAAATGATAGAGCCTGCCCATGACTTGTTTCGAAAAGATGGTTATTAATATATGACTCAAGGTCATCAAATAATCTTTCCGCATTATTTAATGAAGATGAAATGGATAAAAGTGAATCAGCACTTTCTGATAATACTCTCGAAAACTGACGAGAACGGAGGCGTCGGCTGCCTCCTAATTCAGTTTGGGGCAAAATCTCAGGGATGGGAACCTGACTGGGCATATTGGTTCTGTTAGAGCCAATGCTTAGACCATAAAGATCTTGTCGTTGTTGGCGTTCCCGTTCCCCAGTGGCACCAATCCCCATTCTAATTCGTCGAAGTGCTTCAGCAACAGGAATGTGGGATATGCCCCGGTTAACACGTTGTTGCCTAATACTCTCTATCCGATGTGCTTGGAGCCTTGGAGGTACCTCATGAAGTTTTTCCCAGAAAACACAGGAAAGTTGTGAAACGGCGTAGAAAATTTTACAGTTTCTTCTTTCTATTTTCTATTTCCTATTTCATACAACTTTTAAGCACCCAAACTGCATGTTACCTCAAATTATGCTATTTCAACCAGATTCGCTTAAAATTTATGGTTATTTTTTCAATGTTCTAGAAAAAAAGCCAAATTTAAAGATTGATTGAGTTATATATTGCAATTCCATAAGACATGGGTATGACCAGTTAGGCTAATGTTATGCAGAACAGTTTTAGGTCTATTAGTTGGGAAATTCTAATATAACACCTAGTTATGCTATTTTCAATTTTCTTACATTATTTTAGTTATAACTGATGTGTTCTTTACTTATGGTTCATGGTATGTTTAGTTATGATAATTTTTTTATATATATATATATATATATGACTAAGAAAGCATGAAGGTATATCATTTTATCTTTTAGTTTGGGGTGTGTACCATTGTACTTTCCCTATTAGTTGATTGATTTGAGTTTTGTCAGAACTACTGTATATTGTGGCATTAATTAGATGGAGTTAAAAGGCTTATATGGATAATGAAGTGGAACATATGGTTAGTTTCTGTCTTTATTTTAGGGTTTCAGAATCTTCATTGCAGCGATACTGATGATTTCATCAGAGCAAGAACCCTGTGTGAAGTTTATTGGCATTTTGAACTATGCTCATTGTTTCTAATTTTTAGACTACCTTGAGCTTAAAAAATGGTTGAACTAACTTCTATACCGGGCAGTGTTTTGATGTCCTTCAGAAGATGAAGTAAAAATTCTAATTATCAACCTTCAATCGTAGACTATAGAGACCGACCTCATCATAACATGTTGTTAGAATGTATCTTTTGTATAAATTTGGCTAAAAACACTGATTGCGACAAACATGAAGAACAAATTATGTGAATTTTTACCCAAACCTACTAGGTTAACCTTATATTAGAAGAAAATAAAACTAATTTTGTCAGTTTAAAAAAAAAATAAGAAAAAAGAAATTCTGCTGGTAAGATTTTGACTTAATTTTTTATGTTATAAAAGTTTCTTAACCCACCCTTCTCAGAAAATAGAGTAGGCTTCTATGAGAATTCTTTATTTTCCTTAATATTGAATTGGACACTTTTAGGTTTCATTTATTTATTTTAAATGAATTTCAATGGGATTATTTGACACCATTCAGTTATTTTTATAATTCATGCTGTTTTTTTGGATCCCTTTTTTTACTTGCAAAATTGCTGACGACTCCTGTTTTTTTCTTTCCTTCTCTTTTCTTTTCTTTTTTTAACCTCTGAAGGAATATAATTATTTCCAAATCCAAGTTACTGCAAACACTTTACTGCAAGCAACAGAAGAATTCTGACAGTACTTTCGATTTGTCTACCAGTTCAGAAAGATTATTGAACTTACATCTGCAGAAGCTGGCTATGGATTGCCATAGGTTCTCTATGCAAGAAGGTCCCATCAATGTTTCACAGTGGAAAGGTCATTCAGTTGGGTAAATCTTTTTTTCTTATATTTAGTTTTTTGGTCATTGGATGTTATCTGTTAGAAATAAGCCATGGAGGCCTTGTACCTTGTACTTGTTTTTTCCATCAATAAAATTTTCCTTTTGCTGATCAAAAAAAAGAAATAAGGCATGGAGTTCTATAATCAACCATGTACTGTATTTATATCATGGATTTTACATATTAATCACAATTTATTTGATCTCTATGATCTTGACTACTTTTAAGGTGAAGTACAGGTATTGGCATAACCAAAAAGGTTTCAAATTGCCTTGATTTCAACACAAATTATGTACAAATTCTCAGAAAAAAAAAAAACAAGGCTCACCTTGTCAACTGTTAATTTTTGTACACGTCGTTAATTATTTTAGTTAATTTTTATAATAATCAGAAATAATTATAAAATTAAACCACCATTAATGTTATAACAATTTATTACAATTTTTAACAGAAAATATTAACACATGCATTCTACAATAATCAATCAATGTGCAAAATTACGGTAAACAGTTAAATCAAGTCATGATATCAAATAATAATTTTAAATACTTAAATGAATCACAACAACACACATGTATGAACCACTAATTTACAAGATCCAATTAAATAGAATAGCACAACACTTAGTTTTATTTCTAATAAACAATTGAAGTGGTAATCTTGGTTCTTTAATACTCTATCCAAAATTTTCAGAATATAATTTTCGTAGTTAAAATTACAAACAAATTATTTAGTTCATTCTAAAATTCATGTAGTCCTTCAATAGACATGTTATGATCATTTGTCAGAAAAAATTTCCCATAAATAAGTTATAAATAATTCTATAAAATTACAAGAATATGTTATAAATAATTCTATAAAATTACAAGAAATTACATAACACAGATCCTTTCCATTTTCTTAAAATAATTTCATACGGAAATTTGTAAATCAAATCCATAATATAAAAATTGAGAATGAAACTGGATTTCTCAAATTTCATTTTTAACTCAAAAAATACCATATTTGGTCTAATATAGGATTGTTAGTAATTTTTCAAACATGCGGCAGAATCTGTCTAAAATTTCATATAAATTCATACAAGTTAGAATAATTGATACAAAAATTTCTGGAAGAATTAGATATCATTCTTAACAACTTTGTAAAAGAAATCTTTTTGAAATTTTGAGTATAAAATTGTCTAAAAATTCGTATAAAATTCTTTAATCATCTATTTGATGTCACAAACTACACATGCAAACTTAATTTCAAGATTATATCATGATTTTAAGGTTACTAATAAAAAAAGAACTTTCAAATATTTAATATATATATAAATATATATCACAAATTTACATACAACTACAAACAAAATTCTATTTAAAATTTTTAGCCATTTTAGCATATGAATATAATATAAAAATTTAAATAATTAAAAAAAATAAAAAGAGAGGGTTGAAAGGATTTTCTTACTTAGTAGTAGGATTGCAATAAGGTGGTAAAATGATAAGAAAAATTTTAGAAGAAGTGAAAATTGAATATGTGTTTATGCAAATAGATCTTTCTCTCTTTGTTTTTTTTTTTTAATTGAATCTATGTTGTTGGAATTAAATATGTGGTATTGGAATTAAATCTGTTGTTAAATCTATGAGAAGTGGAAATTGACTCTGTGTGTTTGTTTGGAATTAAATCTGGTTTTTGTTTTGTAGCAACTGATCTGTGAGAAATGGAAATTGAATCTGTGTTTATGCAAACAGATCTCTCTCTCTATTTTTTTTTTTTTTTGGAATTGAATTGAATTGAATGATCATTTTGTGTAACTGTGTATTTGTATGTGTTTTTTAAAATTAATTAATTAAGATTTTCAATTAAGATATTTAGTAAGAGTAATTATTAAGTTGAATTATTATAAAAAATAATTATAACAATAAATATTGAATACCCACAAAATTATTATTCTTAGTAATATTTTTTCTTTTAGTTTTAAATTAGAATTTTTTTAACCGAATTTGATCAATATTGATTTTGTTAAATAGTTTAAATAAGATTACATTTATTATTCATATAATATAATGCATTTATAAGAATAATTAAATACGGGGTTCTCACAACCTACCCCCTTTAAAAAAAAATTGTCCTCAAAATTAATTTGTACCTTTAGATTTGAAAAGTTGAGGGTAGTTAACACGTATCATATCTTCTCGTTCTCATATTGACTCCTCCATCTCACGATGTCACTAGAGAACTCGAACTAATGGTATGGTTTTATCTCGTAAATTCTTCTCCCGACGATCTAAAATTTCGATAGGCTTTTCCTCGAATGTCACATTTTCATCAAGATTAATTTCCTCTCAGTTGATGATGTGAGAAGGGTGCGTCTTGTATTTCCATATCATAGAGATGTGAAAAATATTATGTATCCTAGCCAGTAGAGGTGGTAGGGCCAAATGATACGCCACCTCTCCTATTTGATCCAACATTTCGAAAGTCCTAATAAAGCGAGGTGATAGCTTCCCCTTCTTTTTGAAACGAACAACTCCTAGGCAAGGTTGTATTTTTAGGAACACATGGTCTCTAACTTTAAATGCTAAAGGTCTTCCCCTTGTTTCAAGTTTTTGTCTAATTAATTTCACATTCTCTGTAGTTTCTTAAACTAACTCTGGTCCTAAAAAGAGTGCTTCTCCAACTTCCGTCCAACGTATTGGCCATTGACAAGGCCGTCTATACAAAGCTTTATAAGGTTCCATACCAATACTTGTTTGAAAACTATTATTGTAAGCAAATTCGACTAGTGGTAATTGTCTCTCCCAACTACTCTTGAAATCCATCACACAAGATCGAAGCATGTCTTCAAAAGTCTGAATTGTTCTTTCTGATTGACCGTCAGTTTGAGGGTGAAAATCCGTACTAAAACACAACTCTATACCCATAGCCTTTTGCAGACTTTGCCAAAAATTATGATGTAAAACGAGGGTCACGATCTAACACTATTGAGACTGGTACTTCATCCAACCTAATGATTCCTTGAATAAATAATCGATTTAATGATTCGAGTGTGTCTGCTGGTCCTATTGGCAGGAAATGTGCTGTCTTAATTAACCGATCAACCACAACCCAAATGGCATCATGGCCTTGGAATGACCGGGACAGTCCCGTTACAAAATCCATTGTTATGTGTTCCCATTTCCATTCAGGTATTGGTAAATGTTGGAGCTTCCCTACATGCTTCTGATATTTTGCCTTCACTTTCTAACATGTTAAGCAGTTAGATATGAATTGAGCAACGTCTTTCTTCATTCCACTCCACCAATACGCCGCTTGAGATCATGGTTCATCTTGTTTTCTCTTGGATAAATTGCAAAAACTGAATGATGAAAAAGTACTTCTCCTCTCAATAGTTCGATATTTGGCACAAAAATTCTACCTAGATACCTTAAACTGCCATCTAGATGGATCGTCCAATCAAATAAAGATTCTCC